ATCTCTCAATTATTAGCTTTATTTTCCATGAAAAATTTATGTTTTCAATTCACATTACTTTACAATCTGTTATTAAAATTTGTTCCTTAAATGTTTATTTTTTCAAAATGGTTGTATAAATCATTTTGTATAGTATTAAAAGGAAATTTACATTATAAATTAATATTGATTAAAAACTTATTTCATACACATAGTTCCCTTTATTATTTTGAAAAGAGTAAAAACAAAGATTCTATCAGAATAGCATGAATCCATTGGTTCTCGTCAGCTGCTTACAACCTGTGATATTTAAAACCATAATTACATAATGGGATTAAATTACTTACATGAGAGGGTTTAGTTGGAAGTTATGTTGAAGATATATTAGTATAGTATAGCAAGGGTGTAAATGAATTTAATAGACTGAATATTGTAAATATATACCTTATGTAAAAGAACATTCTACAACATTGATTGTGACAACAGTTCAAACGGCTAGAAACAAGTGATGATATAATGAGTAAACATTGATAGGAATAAAATGAGTAGAGTTCAGTTGGTAAAATAAGATTATTAATTTGGAAGATAGTTGAAATAAAACTCATATGCAAGAAAGAGTTTCAAAACCTTTTAAGATGCAGCGAAGGAACATTTGTCACCAAGGCAATAAAAGACTAATAACCATCTCCATTTGAACACATAAGTAAGCTTTTTGACTCCTGATATCAACGGCTTCGGCAAACTTCATAAGACTGGAGTTTAGCTTTTTTGAACATATTCAAAAACTCTAGACAGTACAATCACCAAACATCTCCCTGATACAGGACATCAGGTCGATACCTTGCAATCCTTCAAGGTGATTAGTAAGCAGCCAATATTTACTCATTGTGTATTCATTTATTTTTGACCGTTTGAACTGTTGTCAGAATCAATATTGTAGAGTGTTCTTCCACATAAGGTATGTATTTACAATATTCAGTCTATTAAATTCATTTACACCCTTGCTATACTATACTAATATATCTTCAACATAACTTCCAACTAAACCCTCTCATGTAAGTAATTTAATCCCATTATGTAATTATGGTTTAAAAGCTTATTGAAAACATAAAATCATTTGCCAATATTCTTCATCTAAGTTTATACTAATTTTCTTGTAAAGTATCATTGTAAAAATAAGAACTTTCGTCTAAATTCGATCGAATAGTCTCACAGTATTTGGGTGCCGAGTTGATGTGAGATATTAAAGAGGAAGAGTGTATTTGTAAAATCTCATCGGAAGAATTTGAAGCAAATTCAACGTTTCGCCTACCAATCTGGTCCAAGCTTTTTCAAGGAAATATAATCAAACATGTTTGTATAGTTTTAATCTTAGACAAAAACAACGAACTATCTAGTGTTACCTAGTTTGCAAATAATTTTCAAGGCTACGTTAATTTACAATTATAATTATTACTTAATCGATTTATTTATTTATTTACCATTGTTATTTGTTGCATTGACTATTAGAACTAGTATAATTATTAAATTAATATATTTGTAGTATCCTAATAAGTAAAAAAATTAGATTTTTTGACATTTCTTGGCCCAATTTAAGCCAAGAATATTCTTATGTTGTTCATTTGTACTATTTAGACTTGGATTAATTTTAATTTTGTTTCTTTATTCCCTGAAGAAGTGGCTTACATTAAGTCACGAAACGTCAGAAAATTTAATTTTTCTACTCAGTGGGTTATTACAAATATGTTGTTTTTATTTATAACAATCTAACCAATACTCAATTTATTCGAAACTATCAATTCAAACCTTGTCAATTTTATCTATAGTGTAATGATTACTTTAAATATTTTTAATTAACTCATTTAATCCTTTCAATTTACAAGTATAATGTTGAAGTTAAGCTAAACAATTAATTTGTTAAATATTATGCTATTGAATAATGATAAATGTCTTAAATTAGTAGAAACAGCATTCAAATAATCTTTAAAAGAAAATTCACTTTAAGATTTGAATATTTTACTCTAGATCTGATTCAATATCTATTCATTTAACAGTGAATTTCCAAAATTCATAAAATTATCAGAAAGGTGTTTTATGGAAATTGTAGTGATCTAATAGTTGAATTCAAGAGTCAATTATAGCTACACTACCTTGGAAATCCTGAAAGCAATGGACGACCGTTTCGTCCCAGTATGGGACTTCTCAGTATTGCGCGTCCACGATTCTATTCGCAGGATTCGAACCCAGGACTTTCGGTCTCGTTTGCGAAGGCTTAACCTCTAGACAACTGAGCTAGTCGGCACCCAACGGTGTTGATGTTCAACTTCAACCAGTCCGCAAAATTACACAACCGTGTACTACAATCACTATAAAATCCCTTTCTGATAATAATCATTATGTGCTCACCAGTGATTGGCTTTAAGAGGTGTTTCCTGAAATTCCAATAAGAAGCCATGACTAATAGAGTTCAACCGAGTCTGTTGTGAGGCAGTAACTTACTGAAGATCCCACGAACGGTATCGTGGATGCGCAATACTGAGGACGAAACAAACGTCCAGTGCTTCCAAGCTTACCAAAGTGGTGTAGCCTTAATCGACTCATGAATTCAACTATTAAATTCATAAAATTGTTATCTTTTTTATAGAATTTCTTAAAAGTTTTGTTTTTGCATTTTTATTTAATAAAAAGAACAATTTAAAATTCGTAATTATCAATGGATTGTTATAAATAAAATTTATTTCTTTTTTTATTTTCATAACGATAATATAAAATATTTCTTTCTTATAATTTTTTATTTCTACTAATAGTTTTGCATGTCGATAGAGTAAAAAACAGATCATTCTAATTAGTTTTATAATTAATTTTATATTTTTGTTAATCATATATATAGTCCCTTTACTTATAGTCAACTTAATACTAATACATAATTTCATTGAATTTTCAATAAATATACTCTTTTCAGAATACGGATTGAACAACTTCATTTATTATTGATTTGAACTAGTCTCTGAAATTATTTTGAGAATTGCTGAGAACTCTGATTCGAAAATCTTCAGGTTTATGAACCTATAATTCCACTACAGATTAAGCCCTGTATTCTCAATCCTTTTAAATAACACAATACTTTTAGACTATTTCACTGGATGATAATGATTCATTATGTGAAGTTATGTATTCATACATCAATAAATAGTCTCTGACGTAGAGAAAAGAGATATTCAGTAGTCTTCATTTTCATAGGTTCTTTGACTAGAAGAACTCTGTCATGAAAATTTCCTGAAAAGTGTATAAACATTTCTATAATATCAATTTAATTAGTTGGTTTTGATTGAGATCATGAATCGACTGATGTTAGACCACCGTCGGAAACCTGGATGCACTAGATGGCCATTTCATTCTAGTATGAGACTTCTCAGCAGTGCACATCCACGATCCCGCTCGCGGGATTCGAACCCAGGGCCTTCAGTCTCGCGCGCGAACGCGGTACAATGTAGTACAATGGAAGATGGTCGCGCAATTTCGTGGATTGGTTGATGTTAGACACTAACACCATTGGATGCCGGCTCAGTGGTCGAGTAGGTTAAGCGTTCGCGCGCAAAACTGAAGGCCCTGGGTTCGAATCCCGCGAGCGGGATCGTGGATGTGCACTGCTGAGAAGTCCCATACTAGGATGAAACGGCCGTCCAGTGCATCCAGGTTTCCGACGGTGGTCTAACATCAGTCGATTCATGATCTCAATCAAAAACTTAATAATCTCCACAACCTCAATAATGTTAATTAGTTGGTATTTAAATTATGAACCGTAATTTGTTTTATATTACATAATTTTGAAGTATATATGGCGTAACAGATGCAAACGTTTATCATTTTTAACATATAACATTGTCAAATTCTTTAGTGCATGCTTTATTTTGGCCTTTGTGAAATATCACAATAATTATAGACTTTTAACTGTAGATCTCGATGATAGTTATTGAAAACAATTGTTCACTCAAATATTCTTCATTTTTGAATATTCTATAGAGGATTTTTAAACTATTAAAACATTCCGATAAGCCATAAATAATAATTATGTAGTGAACAGAACACTATTGGGGGCAATCGAATGTATTTGGGCACGAAATTACAGAACATTTCACTAAAATCTGAGAACCATATAGTAAATAGTTAATTTGTAAAATATCAATCCATCGTCTCAGACTTCACTGTTATTTCTGCAAATATCGGCCCATTATCTCAGATTTCATTGCTCATGCATTTATATACCAATTGCGTTCCGTTTCCATTCTATCCTTATCGATCTTCCGCTGAAATACATTCTATGCCTGACCACCTTTATATACTACTTATATGGATATAAGTAATCCACACCACAATTATAGTATGATTTCGTATATAATTTGAAAATTATAGAATTCCTGATAAAATTCCACTTACAGATCAAACGTACTTCTTGACTTTCCTGGTAAAACAATGTGTTTCACAATTAGCAATTGAATAGTCTTAAAAAAGTTATGTAACTCATAGAATTACTTATTTTAAAGAACCAATGAAAATATTTAAACATAAATTATTTTCTTTTTTTGAATAGTTTTAACACTATTAAAAGAGAATTTTTATTTCAAGGTGATAAACAGTACATTAATTGCTTAATTTTATTGGTTTCATAATTGTAGAACAAAGTTCTCATAAGATTTTTATTACTCAAATTCACCTTTTTATTCTTGAGTACTACTATTATAAATTACATTATCTTAAATAATTATGATTCCATTGCAAATAATTAAGCTATTACAATGTACTCTCATTTGTAATTCATTCCAATTAGTTACTGGATAAATGCAAGTTTTACACTTATTAAATTAGTCAGTTAATGGTGGGAAAAATCTCAGGCATTTTTAAAAACTTGTTTTTCTGTTTTATTTCTGTCTTACCTTCATTATCTTTCCTTTTTTCGTACTTTCAGAAAATATTTGATCAAAAAACTGTGAAAGTTTATACATCAAGTCAATTTCTCAATAATGATTACTCTAACTGATATTCAGAAAACAGGTACACAAAATGTCTCGATAAATAATTCGGTGAATATTAACAATTCCGTGGTATTCATTATTAATCCAGAAAAAGTAGAACTTCAACCTGGTTTAATTGCCTTAGTATCACTGATGGCCTTAATACTATTAATAATGACTGCTATACTATTATTACCTAAATCAATTCAAGATAACGTTTTTCAACTTGTATTACATCAGACACCAGATCAAACTTTTAATTATATTGATGTAGGTCTGTACAAAACTAGACATTCCATATATCGTAAAGAAGTTTATTCATTAGCTATGCAAGGTAATCAATCTAAAAAGAAATTTGAAGCACATACATTACTCAGTAGTAATAATAATATCAATTCAAGTAGATCCAAACATAGCAAACAATCAAAACCTATCATTTCATCAGTTTCAGTTTCAGAAGATTACGATAGACCTAATCAGTGTTCGTCTTCAAGTTTAACAAGTAAATACTTATTTCCTTTGGATGATCGTCATCGTCATAATCAAAGTTCTCAAATGAAAAACACAAAATCAGTAATGTTTACTGAAAATTGCTGCTCTGATGTTAATGATAATGATGAAAGCAGTTGTACAAATTATCATGAAAATAGTGATATTAATATTTTTGCTAGCAGTCGATGTAATTCAACTCCAAATGTAATAAATGATACCTCTGTTTATAATTCAATGAACATAACAGCTTCTTTATCTCATATAAGATATTCTCTGCCTTCATGTTTTACTCAAAGTAATCAAAGCATCAATTCTTCAAGGTCACTTACGTCAGTAGCAATTTCACCTAATTTAAAACAGATATTACCATTCAATAAACGTGTACGGCTTCAACTTTCAGATACTTTTATTAATGGATTTAAGTAGTGTTCACAGACGACGATTACAATCCATATTTAGACTATGTTGCCATCTGGTTAGGCACCTGGTGTGATCATCTATGTTTAGATATATACATCTTATTAATCTGTAGACTAATTCAGCAGCTCACACATTGAGAGGAAAGTGGAATTTGATCAGCTTCCAGGTATTTCGACTTGACTGACAGGGGAATTGTGGGACGATCACTTAAATTTGGCCGTAACCCAGGTACTTTTCAGCATAATTCGTCATTTCTAGACTTATGTATTTTTTGTTAAGTCATTAATTGTTTGATTCTTTGTAAATTATCCCTCTTTTGTTCTTACAACATGCATACAATACACTTTTTATGTAAAAATCAGTTTTATTTATTGATTTCCAGACGAGAACACTGGTATTACGTAGTAGGGTCATTTTTCAAAAGTTGGAAAACAATGAAAGCTTCACGACCAAACCATCTAATTCAGAGGACGAAGCGCCACCTAAATCAGGCTTGATCTGCACTGTGAAGAAAGGAGTTCAAACTTTTCGAAGTATTATTCAATGCGTCTATAATATTTATAGAACGGAATCACAATGAGATAGAAAAACATACAGACGACCAAGTAAAAGAATATTATAAAAGCAGAAATACAAGTCATTCGATCTACAATTGATCAGTCACTCAGCATTATAAAATGTCATGTATCCCAAGTACATCTTTTGTGCTGATCTAGTTCTATCAGTGAAGTTGTTGTGTGATCACTAATCTAGGTGATTCGATATCATGTGCACTATATTGAGACGTAAGTTAGTGTACAGAAAACCCTCTACTTGATTAATAAAATTAGACAGGTACTTAAAAAACATGACCTGAAACACATGACGCCAACTACTAATAAGTGATCTGACGATTGTAGATCCATCCCAGTTATGTGGGAGGTCAAACATGGCGCAGACAACTTAATGGTAACGTCTTAAACTATAAAACTGGATGAGACGGGATCGAATCGACCAGGAATCATTGACACACCTTTTTGATGAGTTTCGAATAGCATGAAACCTAAGTCTAAGACAAAATATTTATCAAAACTGTCCACTCAAATGAGTCTAACTCTTACATAGAAAGAGCAGTGTAGTTACTTAGAAGCAAATTTGATGATAGGGGAAATAGCTCCGAATCAGACATATCTGCAAAGGTAAAAACCTACTAAATAGCTTGATGTTGCATTATGGGGACGAAGATTCTCTTAGTATTGCAAACTCTGTAAGGTTTTTTAATTAATGGTCGCAATCTAATATAGCTAAACGACGATGATGGAACATCTTAAGTTGCGTAATCATAATTCAAAGTCATTCCCTTAAATGACCCCCCAGACAGAATCAATCTAAGTTGGTGGCCAGGTGGTATTGTGTGGTGTTTGTATGAACTAACGATTCCTTTGTACTTGATGACTTCCTGATTTCGAATTCCAAATACAATACGTTCATTCGCGCTCACCTAATACTTCTTGGCTAAGTTGCGTTATTTCAGGGATTCCTAGTTTGCACTATAATTTAAATACTTCAAACTATCATATAGTGATGCCTTAGATTTCTAAAATCAACTTGTCGCAACATTATCTCGATGATGAACTACAAGTTGTCCGCCAAGGTTCACTCTGTAAATTAAGAATTAATAAATTCTTGTTGAAAGTGGTGAAAATTAGAGGCAGTTCCGACCTGCCTTTCAAAGCTAATTACTAGATGACAACTTCCATGATAGATGTGATCTTAGATATTAGGCCTGTTATCTCTTTATATTGGTGAGGTTCAGATAACAAGATATACTGTTGTGGAAATAATGTCCAGGACTCTGAACGGATGGATCAAAATATGACCAGAAATTTTCCACTGTGGATTAATGAAGTTTGACATGAAAAGGCTCCACTGGCGTGTTCCTCTAATTTGTGAATAATAAGTTTAGAAAAACAAATAGAAACTTCTACTCTCGAACACTTTTTACCCTGCTGCCTGAAATTAATTTAACTTATAGCATATGCAATAAACTTTGATTAAAGAGGATGATTTTTGTTATATTCCTAATAACTACCACGACCCAAATACATTTTCAACTTCCCGCTTCAAAACATTGCTTAGATGGATAACATTCAACGACGTGAAGTGGTGGGAACTACACGGTAGTATATGTGCACTTTTCTAGGGTTATTCTATAACCCATGGAACTCAATCTCACATTGATAAGTGAAGGAATTCTTCAATAATTATTTCCAAATCATTCCTTTCATTTTCTCTCCAGTCGATAGTTCTAATAGTGTAGGGCCAGTGAAATGTCACTGAGCCCTAGGCAAATCATCCGGCAGTTGGGTCACTGAATATCAAACAAATCATCGACCCTTGTCAAGGTCGAGGACAACCAACGCGCATCAGTCAATCGTATACCATGGATTGGCCCATGCGGCAGTTGTTTCACTTTCGCTTGTATCGACTTTAATTAATATATTTCTGTAATAACGTTCTACAGTCTTCAAAGCAATCCACGTAAGGTGCTGACCACGGGGTGTGACTTCGACGTTAGTTGGTTCGTCACACCATTCCCGTCTAACTCTAGAAGGCCCCTAATCTTTCGACATAGATCATCCACGTTAGTGATCTGCACTGGTGGGCAAGACTTCGAATAACGCAACCTATCATTATAATCTTTATTATGGTATTCTATGTTTATTCCTTTTCATTTTTGTCGCCGCTTATGTTGGTCAATTACTGTGAACTTTCGTTGCTCCATATCAATGTTGATTAGTATTTAAGCTTAAATGATTAGTTCAATCGATAGAACTTACCAACCAACTACGATTATAATCAGTTATCATGGTTCGTTAACAAGAATTAGAAGCATGTAAATGCTCTTGTGTAATATGTCGGTTAAAATATCAAACACTCGTAAGTATAGCCATAAGAAAACACGAACGCACACCTGTTTGCAACTCATCAACTTGTATAAGCGAGACAAGATTAATTGTCAATTATAGATTCATTATCTGATTAATCACTATCAATTATCTTCTGTCAAAACTATCTATTAGTGTTTTACTTACTTGACCACTGCCTGCCTAATTTCCAATTGCTGGGTTCTATGGCCAAACAGTGGATACGAATGCTAGAGACTTACGGTGAGTTTGAACTATGAATTTTCTGCAATCTTAGATCTCGTTTAGACCGTTCGTCAGGCAATGCTACGTATTTGGCTTAAATTAATTTTGAACTTCTGCAAATTCAGTCTACAACGCTGTGTTAATCCAAGAATTTAATCAACAATATCTCGTATATAATTCAGATTTGAACTGCTGCCAACTTCAAATTTTCGTTACTTGAGAGTAAGGGTAACCCAGGCGAGTTTCATAATTGCATTAGATTATTTCTTACTATGTTTATGATGCCTAATAACATTTCGTAGTTTCTTTCACACAGAATGCTTATGTATTCTGTCACTGCCGTCAAGTTTTAGTCAAAATCATGTATATTTATGACTCATAAGTCGACATACTGTAGTAAAACATATTTCATGTACACGAGCAATCTTAGTTCATACCCTAGGTAGACACTTTGTCGTACGTAATCTGTCACTTAACGGTAGGTAATAAGCTCTTTGTATCAGCCTTTTACGAAATGGCCACGTTACCTGAACCCTCTAAACTGTAGTCACATTGGTGGTTACCATTTTAATTAATGTTTACTATGCTCTTTGTATTTGCTATCATTTCACATGGTAAATCATGGCTCAATTTCCTTATTACACGACAGTCATTTTAATCCCAATTTCGGTTTATTTATACGCAGTACGGGTTCGGAAAATATCTAAGCTGCCCCTGAAATTCTCCACAAACCCTACCATATTCTTCGTATATGTTTTTATTCACTTATTCAACTGTTACACTAATAATACCTAAAAGAACGTTTAGTGCAGCTGTTAGAATTCGTAAGAACGATGTTATTTCGACTTGACTTTGTAGCATATCTGAACTATTGTAGTTATTCAACTTCGACGCCATACTTTATTTTATGAAGTACTGTTTCCTCGTGGCTGCTTTCTAACAGATGATTCCAGTACGTCGGTTGGCTGCTCAACTACTCGACGATTTAAAACCTGTCTATTTCAATTGGTGGTCTGAAAACACTATCATTCGCGTGAATTAGCAGTCGAGCAAATCTCCTGAAAAAGTGAGATAGAACACATATGTATCAATTGGCTCCGATCAACGACCAATGATACAGAACACTGAGAAGGTGGTTACGCTAGTGAGACACGCTCTACAGATAAAAAACGGTACCTATCAGTGCCCACAAAACTGACGATCTCACTTTAAGCAGCAATCTGTCTATAACTCTGGAAATAAATACTGCCACAGATGATTGGACAGACAATCAAGTGTCATTTTAGCAACGTATGGAGGCAAATGACTTGATTGGAAATGATCAAAAACATGTACTTCCAGTTGGATTAGGAAGTCGTAGTTACAACAAAGACAACCCCCTCCTCAACTATCATGGATGGGCAAATGGGGCGCGCAAAGTGGCACTCTTTTCCAGTGTGGTAGGGTGCACAGATTAAGAGAGGCAACAAATCCTTCAGACAGAACCATACTGGTGTTGGCTCTAGGACACAGTATCAAGCACCTGTCTGGAGGAATATGATAGCCCCCACAAGAACCAACACCCGAGACATAAGATAGTCCAGGTGGTAACACAACTAGAACAAATGGGTTTCGGTTAGATAATGCTAGCCCAAGACTCCAGCACTCGATCCCTACATTTTCATTATGCTTGTAGTAGTTCTCCAAGTTTCAGTTCCGTACAGTAGAACTGTCTTGACATTCGTATTAAAGATTGTGATTTTGATATTGGTTGACAGTTGTTTTGAGTTTCATGTATTCTTAAGCTGTAGGAATGCTGTCATTGCTCTGCCAATCCTTGTCTTCACGTCTGCATCGGATCCTCTTCGTTCATCGATAATGCTGTCCAGGTGCGTG